ACTCCTCTGTATGAATGTATCCGACTTCGCCAGGTCAAATACCCTTACCCGGTTTATTTACATTACATACATATATATACATACATACATATCATGCATACATACAACATACATACATACATACATACATACACACACACATACACATACATACACACGTACATACACACGCACATACACGTGCACATGCACTTACATACATAAGTACATTCTTACATTCATACTTACGTACATACATACATAAGTACATTCTTACTTTCATACTTCGTACATACATACATAAGTACATTCTTACATTCATACTTACGTACATACAAATATATACGTACAAACTTAAAAGATCTCCGTACATAAGTACACACATAGATATATATGAACATACATAGAAACGTATATTTTCATGCATGTATATATGTATACAGACATATATACATGTATGTACAATATATGTGTGCATTTATATATATGTGTGTGTGGTGTGTGTGTTTATTCATGTATGTATATGTGTTTGTGTGTTTATTCATGTATGTATGTGTGTGTGTGTATGTGTATATACACACACATATATATATATATAATTATATATATATATATATATACATATATATATGTGTGTGTGTGTGTGTGTGTGTGTGTGGTGTGTGTGTTGTGTGTGTGTGTGTGTGTGATGTGTGTGTGTGTGTGTGTGTGTGTGTGTGTGCTTATATATATATATATATATATATATATATATATAATATATATATATATATTATATATATATTTATATTTATATACATATGCACATAGATATATGTGTGTGTATGTATGCGTGGAGTTTGTGTGTTATATATAGCTATGAATGTAGTTTTCACCATGATTTGAATATAACCTTCAACAAATCATCAGATAGAATTATACATTTACTTCATAATGAGAGTGCAAGGAGAAAGCAGGCGAGTGCCAACCTTACTCTTTTCATGATAATTCTGTTGATTGTCTCTCGGTTGACCCTAATGATTATCATCGCCAATGGACGTCGCGGCGCTGTGTTCGGAAGCCAGCGACAGCGAGGGGAACGGCCGCCATGGGAACTTGATTTAGAATTCGCCCCTCTTTCCGTCGGCGTTGCTATCCCGTCCAAGGTGAGGGAAGTCGGCCGTCACCTTGGTCAAGCGCATTTCCGTTTCTCTTTCCCTACTCCTATTTTCTATGAAGGGTGGCGGGCGGCGGGGGGCGGGGCGGGGGAAGGGGTGGCAGAATGCGAATGTGGTTGAGGAAAACGGGGAGTATGAAGGTCGGGAAGGGCGCGTGCCTCGGACGCCTTGCGATCGCGCGGCCTGGCCGTGGTCACGGTCTCCCCCCCCCCTCCCTTCAGCGCTCCTCGTTCTCCGTGTCTCATGTCACACACACTCTCTCCTCTCCTCTCCTCTCTCTCTCTCTCTCTCTCTCTCTCTTCTCTCTCTCTCTCTCTCTCTCTCTCTCCTCTCTCTCTCTCTCTTCTCTCTCTCTCTCTCTCTTCTCTCTCCCCCCCCCCCTCCCCCCTCCCTCCTCCCCCCTCCCCTCCCTCCCCCATCCCCCTCCTCCCTCCCCCCCCATCCCCCTCCCTCCTCCCCCCATCCCCCTCCCTCCCTCCCCCCATCCCCTCCCTCCCTCCCTCCCTCCCTCCCTCCTCACTCCCTCCCTCCCTCTTTCCCTCTTTCCACACACACACACACACACACACACACACACACCACACACACACACACACACACACACACACACACACACACACACACACACACATGTATATAGTGTATGTGTATATATAATGTATAGATATGATAAATAAATAAATATATATATATATATATATATATATATATATATATATATATATGCATACGTATGTTTATTTAAATACATATTTATACACACATGGACATGCTTACATATGTGCATATATACATACATTTCCGCTACATCAGAATGATGTTGTTCTTTGCTCCGTGAAAGGAATTGATGGCTATATTTTCGAAAGAGCGTTCACCTAGCTGGCTACTGCAGTCCAATCATAGCCCGAATAAATGTACAGAATGGCTGTACAGTAAGCACGTGTACAGAACCTCCCGGCTGTGCAGTGTTGCTGGCAAACAGGGGGTGCCAACAAGAACAGCCTGCGGTCGCCCTGCTTGGCTCCTGATGGCAGGTCAGTGTGCCGGGAAAGCTCCTACCCAGCTTCCTGTTGCTGGTCACACCTGGGAGTCGCTAACTCAGCCTGCAACAAGAAGCCCTGTCCGTGACACCACTTGGGAAGTTACTGTCATCTGCACGTGGCGGCATATGCCAAGATAGTTATTCTGGCTTCTCCATCTAGTGCCATTGACAAGTGACAAGGAAAGCGGGAATAAATCTGGAAAGTTATTGCTCTGTGTTATCTGCTGTGATTATAATTCGTAAGTGTCTCGAAGCTATTAGCAAGCGCCTTCACGATGCCTAAGTTATCGCAGATCCCCAAGGCGGCTCGCACGTCGTACAG